AATCATTACCATTATCACAGTTATATTCTTTAGTCAAGCAACATGTCGCACACGTTCGCGGACATAGTTGCCGTGCTAATATTTTATATGGTTCCATCTGACATTTGTCTCGAACCTTATAATCCATATTGCTGCAATAAATTGGTATATTCATTTAATCCTTTCATTTTTTTAACTCTTTACCAAGATTTTGTCTAAAATTGCTAATAGTTCATTAATTGAAATGTATGCTAAAAAAATGAATCTCCTGAAAACTATAATCATTCTTGATGATAAAAATGATAAACCATTCTTTTATCATTTTTTGCACAAATTGAAATTCCATGTAATAAACTAATCTTATGGAACTGCTTATTTCAAAGATAAAAGGCGGAAAGCAATTTGCTTTTATGTTCTTCTTCTATGTTTCATAGAAATTATTAAATAAGATTTTGTGTAAATCATAAAATATAAATTTTTGCAAAATAATCTAAAATTTAGAATTTTACTCGCCATGGATAATGGCGAAAATTCAGCGAATTGTTCAATGATGGTCCCTTAATATCAAAATGAAAATAATATGTAAAGTTCTGAAAAATTACGGCATAAGATTTTGTGCGTATACTGCTATATCCGCATTTTCGAGCTTGAATATTTCAAAGCATGCCGGCGGATCACGATCTTGGCAGTTATCGACAGGTACTGAAGGCCTTTGTACAAAATTTTGTCCATTTGGCACAGGAATAGAGCAAACGTTTATAACGAGAACATTATCAGCATTGACAATATTGCATAACGATGCAAGGATAAACAAAGAGACTAACATGCTTACCAGTTAAACAATTGTTTTCTATGAATTTGACTTTTTATAGCCATGAAACTTTTTATATTACCTATTTCATCCATCCAAAGAAAGTGATAAACATTATCACTCCTCCACTTGAAATCAGCTGCTCAAACATGGTTTTTCAAAAATTTTTGGCGCACATTTAGTTAAATCTACTGTTATGTAAATCACAATGTCAATTATCTATTAATTACAATTTCAAATTTTTATGCAGGAATATTAGCATAAATTTTTCATTAAGAATTTCCGTGCTTTCAAAATTTTTACACTCCATTAATTAAAAAGAAATTATTTATTTCAATTAAATGTAATGATCAGAAGTAATTTGACGCAAATGATAAAAATAATGACAATAGTGGAAATGCATGATAAAATTATCAGCTTTAGGTCTAAGATAAGGACATTCCAATCAGTTTAATGTTTGCTGCAGTTCACTTGTCAGTTTGATGCCTTCCTGTCTCCCTGTTTTAGCCTATTCAATAGAGGATTAGAAAAAATTTTCTTGGAGATTTAATCCTTGATATCTGTCATATAGCTTTCTTAAGAAATGAGAGTAGAACTTGTTCACTCACCTCACTCGCGTCACGTCACCTGGCAAAAATTGTGACAAATTGCCATAGAGATTTTCTTTAGGATAAAAAATTAGAATTTCATCGTTAAAATTGTTAACTTGAGTTGAATCAAAAGAAGTAAATCGGAATGACCACATTAATCATCTTAGTTCAAAATTTTCTTTCGAATAGTTTATCTAAGCAACCAATGGTAGATTGTTGAATTTGCATATATAATCATTTCAACGAAAAAATTTCGAAAAAAACGAGCCAATTTTTTACAAATAGAAGTTGAAATAAATGCGTCTCATGCGTCGCATCATAGTACCAATTTATTCATCCTGTTTCTGATTTTCACTAAGAATTATCATTTATATCAGTTTATATCAGTTTCTTTCAGTAACTCAAGAATATATTATTTCTACGCTACATAGTATCATTTATTAAAATGGCCATAGTGCAAAAAAATTAAGTTCATAGTGCAACAAGGTAAACGGTAATTTCTTCGTCATTTTCAATCATTCTCATATTTTTTTATATTAAATCATTTTTGCCTATTGTTTTGGACAAATACATTAGCTGAATGTTCAAAATTCAATAAAAAAAATACTAATGGAAGAGGAGAAATATTTTTCCAGAGTAGAGCATTCTTCCAGAAATACTTCCGGAAGCATTTATCGGAAACGATTACGTGAAACCTATTTTCATTTGTTTATATATTATGAACGAAAAATAAAAGTGCTCATTGTGTTAAATCACAACGAATCGGTTTTGATTATAAATTTTTCTCGACCCATTTCAAATATCTCTCAAAAAAGAATAATAGGGAAAGAAGAAACCTCTTAAAATCCCCTTATTTTTGCTATATATTCCCTCATATAAATAGCTATGGCTATGATTTTCTTTCTCTTAATTCACCTTGCCATGTTTCTGCTTCAGTAGAAATGGGATGAAAGTAATTTGGGGAATTGGAAAGGCATTAAGGGAATAATAATATAAAATGTAATGAGCTTTAGAGAAGAACTATTGAAACAGTTAAGCTTGTCCTATTGGTCATTTTTGCGCTCAAATATGCAAGAAAAATACACAAAAGAAAATGAAGTAATGCATGAAGTCAAAAAAAGATTTAAAAAATGCGTTAAAATTTTGAGCAAAAGCAATAGCGAACTTGTGGCCGAGTCAGTTGTCATTCGAGAAAATTTGTTATCATCGTCATATCACCATTTGTCATATCACCATTTTTTTTCTTTTTCTAATTTCTAATAAATTCTACAACTAAATTAGCAAAACTTTCTCACATATGGATGATGCAGCTGCCCTTTAACAACTTTCAAATATAAGTTTACCCGCCATGATTTGAGGTATGTAAAACTGAATGATAGTATCACTAAAGAAAAAATGGTATTGCATATAATTAAATTTATAGCATTTCGTTTTGATGCCAAAAAACTATGACCATCTTTGCGAGAACTGGAATATCGTTTCACAAGTACATTTTCTTGCAATGCCTTGCGGTACTTTCGTTCGTGCATTTACCAACCACTTATATAGAAGTTGCAATATAATGAAGGTTAGCCTGGTCGAAGCTAACAATTATAGAAATAAACCTGGTTTTTACAAATCTTGCAGCAAAGTTTAGCTCCTTTAAGTGCCACATTTTTTTTTCTTTGGCCTTTTCAACTTGTTTCATGGCTCTCTTTGTAGACTTCTTTGATATTTTCTTTCTATCATTTTCAGCTTTTCACGGCTAGTTCTTTTCCTTTAGTTATAAGCAGTTTTTGCCTTTTATAAGATAATAATTATCAACTCCTTTGTTGCCATCGCTATTTTTTTTTTCTTTTCTGTCCTTTTTGCCCTTCTTCTCTTCAATACTTTCCTTCTCCTTCTGTCTTTTTCTGATCTTTTTCTTCTCTACCACCTTTCCTCCTCCCTCCTTCCTATCCAATTCGTCAAGACTAATATCTTTTTAGCATACCTTAAAGCTGAAACGTATTTCCTTTTCTAATTAATCCCTAAGTGATAATCAAAAAATAGCAATAAAAGTATATGCGAATAATGAACAATATCATTCTCACGGATAAATGACCAAATGATTTCGTGCATATCGTCTAACCGCGAACTCTTATCAGTTGAACGTTAAGATAGCATAGCATAATCTATCTCTATGAAATGGTTATCGCTTTCCTTCTCATCTTATCAGCTCTATTAAAATTCTTTTACGAGTTGGGTTAAAATTTCGTGAAATTAAAAATAGTGCATAGCGTAAAAAAAATAATGATCCGAAAATCTTTAATTACTGAAAGAAACTGCGGATGATAATTGATAAATGATAAAATATTAGAAATTCGAGAAATGCCATTTTCACCTCCATGGCCATTCTCACCAACTGCATTTTAATCAATTGAGAAGGTTTGATGGCTCGGCACGAAAATGATTGGGCTCTTCGTTTCTTGAAAAGCAACTTTCTTATTAATCCGATTTTCCCCACTCATTTTCCTTTTATTTGCTCTTTTTATTTTCCCTGTATGAATGCATTAATGAGTATTCATTCGTTGGCAAAATTTTTCACTGGCTCCATCCAAATCTCTACCGTATTAATCAGTTATCATTTAGGCTGAAACCTTATATCAGTCTATCTTAACATAAAGTAAAATTTAACTTCTGTGCTTCACTTTGAGATGAGAAGGGTGGTTTCCTTTCGCTCTCATGCATATTTGCCCATTTAATCCTTATGGGAACTATATTCACCAACTATTTGAGAGATTAAAGTATCACGAAAAACACGACAATCTATCGCCGACATATCGCTGGGTTTGGCTTTTACATTGTATTGGATAACTGTGGCAAACAAGCAAATCCGATGGTTCTGAAGTGAGAATTCGGACTTAATGGGTTTTTTTTTAAAACTTTTGACTTAAAAAGCACAAATTTGAAAATTTAAATAAATTTTCTAATCCAATTTTTTTATAAATTATCCATAAACTTCGCTTTTTATTAGTTTTTCGATGCCGCCATTTCTGTTTTTCGCCTAAGGCAAATATAAATGCTGTTTATAACCAATAAATTCCATTAATAATGCAAAATTCTGCATAATTTATTTTTGGTTATATTTAACATAACAGAAGGAAATTATTGGTCTCAGAGAAAGGAAATTATTAAATAAAGAAAGGAAATATAATGCAACAAAATAAAGCATGGGACTTCAACCTAAAACATTCATTCGAAGGAAAAAAAAATCTTTCTTCCAGTCTATCGACACAAACCACAAGTCAACCGGCATTTAACGCGCATAACAACTCCATAATCGCCAACACTGCAAAGATTGCGGTACCTTGGACAGTCGGTATGGTCGTCACGGCAGCTTCCCTGCGATGCTGCAATAAATAGAACTGTTCTAACAATTTTCACATAATTATGGGAGTGGAAGATTTAGTGATTCCCCTAAGGTCCGATTATTCGATTATTGGAACTTATCACATGCACGACCATGAAATATGCAAATTATTCTTAGATTATAATACGTTATACAGTGACATTCATAATATCGATTAATAACCAGTACTAACGCCTTTTTTGACCTATTAAAATCGATAGTAATTAGTAACCCACTTGTTTGATTTGTAAGGCAGTCTCGTGAGAAGCACGACCTCTGGCACAAATTCTTGAATCGATTGTCAAAACAAATACCCAATCCCACCAAAACATCGCAACCATCGATAGTGTCAGGACACATGTTTGCGGCACCAGGTAAGTGACAAAGGCCACAACTTTGCGGGCAAAGTTGTAATGCAATGTTTGGGAATTGACTGCACAGTGCTCTTGAAAAATTTTTGCATGGACCATCGGCACCTCCAACTAAAATTAATAACTTTTAGTTTTCGATTGAACATTACCTTTAAATGAATTTTAGAGAATTTTCGTATAAACTTTTTTTTTCCTTCTTCGAGGCCATTGATATTTTCACCTTAAAATGTTTTAATTTTTCTGCTTTTGAATTTTTTTATTAAGCAATTTTATTTAATTTTTCCATTGCAAATGATAATAATTATCAAAATGCGATATTGTTTTTTTTTTATAAACTTTTTCATTTTTTCAATGAATTACGAATAAGCCATATTGTGAAAAGAACTATCGAATATTTCCAGAATGCAATAAAATTCATTTGTCAAAACGTCAAAACTATCGATAAAAAGAGAGATATTTTTTATTGTAATGGATATATAAGGCGTAAATTACACCAAAAAGAATTACCATTTTGGCAGTTATATTCCTTAGTTAAGCAACAAGTGGCACACTTTTGTGGGCACATTTGACGAGCTAACATTCTATATTCAGCTTTTTGACAATTCTCTGGAACTTTATAATCGTTGGTGCTGCAATAAAACAATTTCAGTGAATCTTTCTTCTTTTTTTCTTGAAAGATTGGATGACGGATTTTCCCATGAAATTTAAATTGTTTCAATAGCTGAATAAGTTAAATGCGATGGCTTTTTAATAACGACGGCGATTTATTAGGCGCTTTTATATTTTCACTCTTATTTCATGGAATGAATGAATTTCAGTGAAATGGTTTATTTTATGAAATGGAAAAACGGCTTAGCATATTCTGTTTCAAGGGGTCACTGAAAGAAAAATATTTCAAATCTAGAAAAATTCTAAAAATTATTTTAAATTTTTAACATGATATAATTGATATTTTCTTATCATCGTTAATTCTTAGAATTTATCCAGTTTACTATCTTACAATTTTTATCTTCCTTACAATTTACAATTTTATCTTACAATTATATCTTACAATTTACAATTTTATCTTACAATTATATCTTACAATTTACAATTTTATCTTACAATTTATCCAGTAATATTCATACTGATGGCACTATTTTAAAAATATCATATGGACTTACAGTGATATAGTGAAAATAAAATTTAAAAACGCAAAAACTTACGGCACAAGATTTTCTGCAGGTATTTGATCTTCATCATTTCCGTACTTGAATATTTCGAAGCAAGCCGGCGGATCACGATCTTGGCAGTTTTCCACAGGTAATGAAGGTCTTCGTACAGGATTTTGTCCCGCTACGGGAACAACCATAGAACATATATCTATAGGCATAGCACCTCCGCTAGCAAAGTGACATAAAGATGCAAGGACAAGCAATAAAGTGAACAGGGCCATTAGTCAAATTGTATCCAATCTATAAATTCAACTTTTTATATTCAATTTTGTTTGCTTTTCCATATTCCAATCAATCAAAAAAGTGGTGAACATTATCACATCTCTACTTGAAATTATCAGGTGCTCAAATATGCTTATTGGAGAATTTTTGAGGGCTATTCAGTTTAGATTGATCGATACACGCATTTAATCACGATATCAGCTATTTCTTAATCAATTACCATTTTTTAACCATAAAAGATCTCAAAAATATAAATTTTTAATTAAGAAAGAATCATTGGATCGCTTTACTTTATTTATTTATTTATGCTTTTGAATTCTTCAAGTGGAAAAAAATTTCGAAAAGTGAAATTATTTCGCTTAAAAACAAATAGCAAAAAATAAAAATTTTGACCTGAAATCAAAAGTTTTTATTGCTTTTCATTTAGACTGTTCTCAATATTGTAAGATGTTGCAATAATTCGACTTGGCAATGAGCGAAATTCGTATTGTCACAAATATTATCAAATTTCCAACATAAAATTTTGAAAAAACAATATTCATGCCAGTGCTATAGTTGCGAAGGGAATATAGTTACTGGTCCAAAAATTGGTAATTGCGAAAAACATTTTGTAGTTCTTGGATGCAGTCTGCATCGTTCATTGCTTTAAAAGGTTGCTCGTAAGCCGAGAAATATCGCACACACTCAGAAATAAAAATCGAATGAATTCCAAGAAATTTCAGGGTATCAACTATTTGAACTTCTTTATTGAGTTTTATAGATGAGACAGCAAAAAATACGATAAGTACGAAAAATACGATATTCGATGAAATGAAATCGATTTCGGCAACATTTCGCTAACAATGCTCCAAGGAGCTGAATGTGAATTTTTCGATTCTGATAACCCTTATCAATTAGCACTGAAAATGGATTCCTTGAGGATTTCTAAAATAAAATCTTAAAATATTGCTTATGGCTTATATTCAACAATTTCCGATTTTTCTCAAGTGTTCTTTGAATAATTATTCCTCCACTTTCCTTCAGCTTACAAGTCATCAGAGGCTCGAAATATTCTCAATATTCAATTCCTCTTTAAATGGTTCCTTAAATGGGGGAAAAAGCACAAAAATCGATGTTTGTCCTTAATCTTATAACCTTTGCAATTCAACAGAAATAGCGGTTTCGTCGCAGTGATCAACGTCATAAAATTTAAAGAATTTAGACAAATCCATTAAAAATGAAATTTTCGAATTAGTTCCATCAAAGAATAATTTTTTTCTATTGAAACCTTATTTATCAGAAAGCAATCATTTAGTGCATTTATTCAAAATAATAGAAATCAAAATAATAGCGCTTAGCGTGAATGGAATAATTTGCTTAAAATACCATAAACGTACTGCGAATGATAATTGTCAACAAAAATTTAGGAGAGGATGAAATAAATCAGTCGAAATTAGAAGACAATGAAATTCATCGATCATATCATATATATCTTATCATATCAAAAGTATTATATTAAAAACTTTTCAAAAATCATGTTTGAGCAATCTATGATTTGAAGCTGTGGGGCGTTAATATTTATCTTTTTTTTCTTTGATTTATTGAAATATCATAAATTAGTGAAAAAATGACCATAAAAACAAAATTTTAAAGTCGAAAACAAATTATCCAACTGATGACAGAGTTCGTTTCTTTGCATTGCGATTATATTGTTCCCATGCCATCTATACAATCTGTGCGAAGACCTAAGGTGCCTGCTAAATACTACCGAGATTGTAATGCGACAGCTTATTTCGAAATATTCAAATATGAGGGTAATTCTGGGATGGTACTAGTTCAAAACCTTATGTCGTGAATTTCTGAGCATTTAATTTTAAATTTGATTTCGAACACTGGTGAATTCACATATGAATCATTAAACGAAGGTTTAAATAGGACAATTATGAACTTGTTGGTTGATTGTCGTTGATAAGAAAAATTTGTGGAAATGTACGGATATTGTTTTATTGAAATGTTTTTCGGATTTTGCATAATTAAAATTTCCTCATTTTTTTGATTTTTAGAAAATTTAAAGCAAATTTTTTTCATTTTTTACACTTGAAGGTTGTCAACCAACTCAATGAGATTCACTCAATTCAATGGCTACAAAAAGCCGTTTTTTCTTCTCTTACGAGACCTGTTACATCATAATTATTGAAAGCAATTTTATGCAAAAATCAGTTGCCTGCCATCGTTAACTTCTCAAAAAAGAATGGAACTGAGTTCCTATTTTGCAATAACTTGGATTGTAATTAGAAACATCTGTCAGATGGAACCAAACAGAATATTTGTTCGACAAATAGTGTGTCCATGATCATGTGCAACTTGTTGCTTGACCAAGGAATGTTGCTGCCAAAATGGTCAAAATTAATCATTTTATTGGTGAAATATTAATTCATGAGGAAATTCATAATGAAATATCTAATACAAGGAGAACTGCTAGGGTACTTTCGATATTTACCCTTCTTTCCATTTTACATTGAATTAAATAAAGCCTAAATGAATGGAACGAAAAAATCCATAAAAAAAGCCAGTAAAAAAAATAATTTAATGAGAAAATTGGTGAAAAAAATTAGAGCAAAGGACGAACTTTGTTCATACAGGCCAGCCTGAACCTTCTTTAGCCAATATGTTCGATATCCTGCAACTAATATAATAATCAGCTTAATATTAGTACCAGAAACACGGAGATTCGTTCAAAATGGGAGTCGATCAATAACATCCGGCATAACTCTTTCCTTATTTTTGGACTTCTTTCCTTATTGATGAAAAGTCCTGATAAAAGTTCCAACACGATGCGGCTCTGTGTTAATGTAAATATTAATGCCAAAATATTCAAATATTCAAATCAACTATTTTTTTAAAAATATTTCTTTGTTCGAAAAATTTTATTATTGTGAACAAGAATTTAAAAGTAATGTAATTCATATTATCATTATCATTTTACGCACAATAACCGCACGTTCTTGCACACTGTTGTATCATTGTTGTTCGAAAGACACCGCCACAGTTATTTGTGGCTCTAAAAGCGGCACAGTTCTGCCTTTCGTCTCTACAAGTTGCTGTTGGAGATGGTAAAGTTGTGGCTGAAATCCATGAAAATATTTTCGTTTTCTACACTACATGAAATTTCCAATTTTGTTCTTCAATTAGAATATTTAAAAAATTGTCAGAAATTACTTGTTAGACAGTCGCGCGACCCACAGGTTCTCTGGCACATATTTTTCAATTTGTTGTCAAAACAAATGCCCAATCTCACCAAAACATCACAACCGTCGACGGTATCGGGACACATATTTGCAGCGCCAGGTAAATGACAAAGGCCACAAGTTTGCGGGCAAAGTCGTAATGCAATGCTTGGAAATTGACTGCACATTGCCCTTGAAAAATTTTTGCATGCACCATCCCGACCTCCAACTGAAATAAAGAGCAATGTATTTGAATCATTTTTCTTTTCTGTCAGCATTTTTTTAGAAATCGTTTTTCGCATCTCATGCACATAGTTTTTTTTTTTATTTTTGGCTCTAATGGAATTGGTTTAAAATAAGAATTTTAAAATTGGAATTATTGGATTTGGCAGTGGCTTGTATGCTTAAAAAGGTTCTCAATGTCAGGCAGATGTTCCTGCAAATGCTTTTTATACCTTTACTAACTTAGTTTCCGTGATATAAGCAATTTACAATGTCACAATTTAGAAGCTAATGAACTGATTTCGAAAAAATTAATTAACTGCTGAACTGTTCATAATGAAAGAAAATTGGAAAACGTTCTTAGAAATTTTATTAGAGTGTTTTATAGAAATTTATAGAAATTGACGGAGATAATTTCAAATATTGCTAAATATATTAAAATTTTACCATTTTCACAATTATATTCCTTAGTCATGCAACATGTCGCGCACATCCATGGGCACATTTGTCGAGCTAACATTATATAGGGCTCCTGCTGACATTTGTCTAGGACCTTATAATTCTCATTACTGCAATACATTAAGACTTTATAAAATTCTGTTGCCTTCCTTCATATTTTCAACTATGGTTGGAAATTCTTTCATTTCTAATGGAATTTTGACCAAAAACCAAAAAAAAAAGTAAGAAATTTTGAATTAAAAGAGCATCATTTTTCAACATATATTTGTTTCCATCGCTAAAATTTAACAAATTTTTCGGTAGTTATTCTATTGATAGCAATGATTTAAAGTATTATAGATGGATTCTTCAAAAAAGAGATTTATGCATTTCGAAATAAGTACGAAACAAAATTTTTATGACCAGAACGACTCACGGCATACGATTATTCGCGAGTACATCGTTTCCCATCGGCTTGAATATTTCGAAGCAAGCTGCTGCATCACGATCTTGGCAGTACTCGACAGGCACCGAAGGCCTCACTACAGCATTATTTTGCCCAGGTACAGGGACAGAAATAGAACAAACTTTTATATCTTCATCGGCTCCATTAGCAATCTCGCATAAGAATGCAAGAACAATCAAGAGAAATAACATACTCAAGTCGAGTAAGTCAAGTAATTTCTATTCTAAAAATTAGGCTTTTTATAGTTGTGAATTAAATCTTTATTTATTTTCCCAATTTGAACTGAATGACTGAATGAAAAAATGATAAACATTGTCACACCTCCATATGAAACCTCCAGGTGCTCAAATATGGTAATTAAAAAATCTTTGATAAATTCAGTTAAGATCGACTGTTACACATTCAATAACGATATCATTCAAATCTTTCTTTTTCAAATAATTTTCAAAAAAGTTATTTGTAGTTTTCGCCAAAGGTATTTTTTACAGTTTTTGAAGGAAGGAAACAATTCAAAAATTGAAATCGTTTGCTTTATTTGTGAAATAATGATAAATAATGAACGATTAAAATGTTAAAAATATCCAACTCCTGCAGTGGACGGTGAACAACCAGGGAAGGCCATGCGTTGTGATAACATTATTAATACAGGTGGTATTTGAGCAAAAAT